AAAGGACAGTCGCAGCTCTGCAGCGGCACCTCAGTTAATGAGTGTAGAGAAAAGAATTTATCTGAAGAAGAAGAAAGTGAAACTCAACAGCCTTTCAGGCACATGAAACTCGCTTGGAGGAAACTCCGAGACGGTGGCAGCTACTTAAGACGAAAATTCAGCGGAAAAATAAACGTACAAAGAGCTCGGTTCAAAATTCCAGTAATGTGTTTTCCCCTTGTCATTTATTGCTCAGACTGTGAAAAGTGTTAAAAGCTGGAATGCAGATTTCTCCAAGTACTCGTTATATGAGTGATCATGACCATATATTATTGCCTAAGTTTTCTGGCAGTACCTGTAATTTCAGGCATAATGAACTAATACGATTTCTTTGAAATGTCATGTATGCTTCACCATGGGTTTAGTTAGAATTTAATATTATTATACGGACACTTTCAAAGTCAGCAAATAGCTTAAAATACAATGTTGAGAAAATAGCAGCAGCAGTAACTAGAATGTTATTAGAATAAGTAACAAATTAATTCCTGCCAACCAAGCACAACCACTTCTTTATTTTTTTTAATCAATGGTTTATGATAAAAGGTGCCTCCACTGAATTAAGCTCCTAACTAGCTTGCTTCTGTATCGAATAGGGAAACTCACCATGTTCAAATATCTGAAAGCAAACTTATTTTACAGAAATATTAAGCATAAAGACAGTAAGCTTCCAGACAAAGGATGGTTGTCAGGTTCTTAGGATGCAATGTAAAACTGTAATATTCTATGTAGTGCTTTAGTTTTCTAATAAGTCATTGTGATAAGGTTAACACTTCAACAGAGAACAACATACAAATAGGAACACCCAAAGATGAAAATTACTTTGCTTATGTTGCTGTATTAGAATTTTATTTGCTAAAGGGTGAAAACAGATTTGCAAAATTCACAGTTAACTTAAAACAATAGTTTTAAACCTTTTATTCCTAGCCCTGGCTGCCTTCAGGAAGGGAAGAACATCTGGTTATTTAAGGAACACAATATGTTCACATTTTCTATGACTTTTGTTTCTAATTGGGTTTTTAAATTTTTTTTTATTTGAACAACTCTAGTTAGAACTATGTTTTTTAATCACTTTATATTTTTCCACTGCCCTATCTCCATATCTCTACTTCTTAATTTCGCAGCCTTTGCTTTGAAAATTAATGCTCAATGGTTTTGATACGGAAAAAAAAGAAGAAAATTGGCCACTCATTGGATATTAAATACACAGAGACACACCTTCAGTAAATGCTTTGGATATACACAAAAATACCTCCCCTTATTTTCTCATTTCACATATACATACTTTTAGCAGCCTATTCTTCCATAAGAAGCTCTAGTTTTATATTCAGAAGGACTATGAGTACGTAGAAGTTACTTTCATACAAATAATTGAGGTAATTATCTGTTCAAAGATTAGATACGTGAAACAAGTACTCCTCAAGCAGGTTAACTTTATTACGCTATGCAAAGACAACAACACTGATTTGAGATTTTCATTCTACGTTTTCCTAAGAACTGCAGCTAGCCAAATGCAGAAAAGGTTGAAATTCATTTATTCTGCATTGACCTGTACTCATGCCTGTAAAATTAGTATCTTTCAGCCCTCCCCCCTTCAGAGACAGGTGCATTAACTTGTTTTCAGCTTTTATGGAGATGTGTATTCCTCTTCTGTGGCACTGGAATACATCAGGGATGTGGTATCAAAATGTCCCCTCATCCCAGCTGCCAACTGGGGTTCACCAGGTGAAAAGGAGAGCTGCTACACATATTAGATTAATGGCAAACACTGTTTACTTTTCATATTATTGTTATTACTGGATAATGCTAAGGCTTCTGCTAAAGTTTGATTGCACAAAAGGTCAGGAAATTGTAAATGTCCATCTGTAAGAAAAAAATGCCACCCATCTTTTAAGTATAGCTTTATTTTGACATTTTGGTTGCTCTCCTGGTGATAACTACAGTGCGACGGGTTCATCAAGCCAAAGTTTTGCTCTCCTGATAGTCTACAAGACAAGTACGTAAGTAAGGAGGAGATATCTGTACTGTCAGAACAAGGAAGACAGAGGAAATAATGGATGTTATTAGACATGCAAACCCAGATTATCTCCAGAATCAGAAGTTACAGCTGCTATCAGACCCATGTTAATTACTTCACCGTTTATAACAGGATTGTCCCTTAAGATCCTCTCAGTTTTATGTACACACCACCAATCTTCCTTAGTCCAACTTCCCCTCAGTGAGATTATTTGGCATTTACATAGCTGCAAAAATAATCTCAAAGACAATATATATTAACAAACCTGCAAGAGGCAGATTCCTGTTTGTCCCTGTCCATGACTTCTAAACTGCATTTCTTATCCATTTGAGATTTAAAGCTCCAAGGGGCAGTGAGCAAGTCTCTCTCAGATATTTGGAACAACAGTAAACATTCTTGCTGTATTCAACAAATAATGAAATAAGGCACTGGACCATGTAACAGTCTCCCACAGAAGAGCTCCCTGACTTCACATATTAAAACCCAAGTGAAATCTTGGAAGAAATGCCACACAGAACAACTAAGTCCTGGCTCAGGAGATCTAAATTGCACTGAACCAAATGTAATTTCCCATTAGAAACTAGAAGATAGTGATTGAGAAATACATAGGAAAACATCAAAGGAGGAAGAAAAATCATTAAGCACTGAATTTGCTAATCATCATTTACAAGTTACACTACTGACTAAAATCTCCTTGTCTTTTCTTCCAATCTCCTTTTATCTGCGCAGGGAATAAAAGCAAACTGAATTATCTTCATGCAGATGCAAAAAAAAAGTGTCATAATTTCCCCACTTATATTGGTATATAAACTGTGTACTAACTTTAGACTCCTACAGCACCCATGATGTCTTTTGCTGAGTCTTCTCTTTCATTCTGGGTAATGAAAAATTTTGACAGACTTGGAAAATTTTTATGTGTAGGTCTTACAGAATAACAGAATTCCCATTTCAGAAATACGTTGGATTGAAACAACATATGCTTAAATACATGAAAGTTAAACTTAAAATCATAGCTA